TCCTCGGAGCAGTTGGCGGTGGCAGGAGGAGAACAGAGTTCCTTAAAGGAGGTCAAAGGTGACAACTGTGGCCCATCCCAGGGAGAAGACCCTGTCCACTTGGGAGGAAGATGGCACAGGTCTCTTGCTTGAATGCTTTGGTGGCTCCCCTCTCCTCTCAGCCCCCAGCCCTGGAGCACATCTGGATTTTGGAGCCTTTCAATGTTACAGCCTCCAAGTCAAAAGTTCAAAAGTGCATACCAGGTGCAGTGGCTCACACCTGTATCCCCAGCAATCTGGGAGGCCGAGGCAGGTGGATTTCTTGACCTAAGGAGCTCTAGACCAGCCTGAGCAAGAGCAAGACCCTGTCTCTAAAAATAGCTGGGCATTGTGGCATGTACCTGTAGTTTCAGCTACTTGGGAGGCTGAGGCAAGAGGATCACTTCAGCCCAAGACTTTGAGGTTGCTGTGAGCTATGATGCATGGCACTCTACCAAGGGTGACAAAGTGAGACTCTATCTCAAAAGAAAAAAAGAAGAGGAAGAAGTTGAAAAGTGGGGCCCACACGTGGGTTTGTCAGCCTGCTCAGTGATTTAAGTCTTTGTATTAGTGGCTAACACTGTGTTTCTGTACAAGTCTTTCAACTTTACTATATGTTTAAAAAGTTCTATAATAAAATGTTGAAAAATAAATGAATGAACAACAAGGAAATACTACAGAACTTGTTAAAATGGCTAAAATCCAAAAAACTGGAAATATCAACTGCTGGCAAGGATGTGGAGCAACGCCTCTCAGTCATTATTAGTGGGGATGCAGAATGGTATCTCCACTTTATTATTTTTTATTTTTTTTTTTGAGACAGAGCCTCAAGCTGTCCCCCTGGGTAGAGTGCCGTGGCATTACAGCTCACAGCAACCTCCAACTCCTGGGCTCAAGGAGTCTCCTGCCTCTGCCTCCCAAGTAGCTGGGACCACAGGCGCCCGCCACAGCGCCCGGCTATTTTTTGGTTGCAGCCGTCATTATTGTTTGGCGGGTCCGGGCTGGGGATTCGAACCCGCCACCTTAGGTGTACGTGGCTGGCGCCTTAGCCGGTTGAGCTATAGGCGCCGAGCCGGTATCTCCACTTTATAAGACAATTTGGTGGCTTTCTCAGTAGTTGTGTTCCTGACTATTGACCCAACTGATTTGAGAATTTATGTCCACACATATACATGTACATGTGACTGTTTATTACAGATTCGTAATCTCCAAAACTGGAAGCAACAGAGATGTATTTCCAGTTTGAATGGATAAACAAACTGTAATATATCTATACAATGAAATATCTTTGAACAACAAAAGTAAATTCCCTATCTAGTCATGAAAAGACATAGCTACCTCCTACTATATATTGCTAAGTGAAATAAGCTAGTCTTAAAAAGCTAACACAGTATGCGATTCCAACTGTATGACATTTTGGAAAAGGGAAAATTATATAGAAAGTTAACAGATTACTATCTGTTACAATTGAATAGGTGGAGCATAGGGGATTCTTTTAGGGGAGTAAAACTATTTCATATGATACTGTAATGGTGAGTAGGAGACATTAAGTATTTGTCAATGAGTTAACTTTAATGTATGCAAATTAAAAAATTATGTAGGTTGGAAGTCAGTAGTTTGCAGTATGGAATACAGAATGTGACCAAAGAATCAGAGTATTACAGAAGTATGAAACCACCTCACTGAAGAGGGTAGGGGAATAAGGTCCTGACCTAGAAGTGCGTTGGAGTCTGTGGGACTAAAGGCTAACAGGACTGTACATGAGCACTGTGCTCTCCAGCTGATAAATTGGGTCCTACGAGAGTATGGGACCTCTAACAATTCTGAAACCACTACTCATGTACGCTGAAATCGAACAACTAAGTAAATGGAAGATGGCTGTTGGGAGTCAGGTTTCTCACTGTTGCAGTGAGAAGTTAGAAGAGCGAGGGGAGAGGCTAGAACAATCCACATGGCAACAGAGTGGAGTTGGAGGCTTCAGTATGAACTCATGTGTGGCTTACTATGGATCCAGTTGCTTCCACACAGACATGTCTGTGGATGTGCAAAGATATAGGTCAGGAGATGCACACACGTCTCCTTGTTTTACCAGCTGAGACGGCCTCAAAACAATCCCACCTCCACAAACACAGTTGTAGCAACCAACCTAGTGTAGGGCCCAGATCTTGGTGTCTAACACCATTCTCCAAAAAAATGAGCCAGAGATCCTTGGAGAAATGGCTGATTCCAGGATTGGGGACAGGAAATATACAAGATGACCATGGAGTTTCTCATAGTGCCAGAAAATAAAGTGCTAAACACACACACACACACACAGAGGCAATGATGGGGGTATGTCACAGGGACACAAAGCTAATGAAAAGAGCTCCCAGTGGATATCCATCCTCTTTCTTTCCTATCTATCCACCTATCAGTTGGTGTATACAGACATCTTGCTGGGTCTGTGTTTCTGGAGAACCCTAATGGATACACAGGGGAAGCTGGGTGTGGCATATTTGAAACTCTCTGTACCATCTTCACAATACACCTATAAGCCTGACTATTGTAAAATGAAACAAGTGGTATTTTATTTCAGTGAGTACCTCTGCCCGAATGATAGTTATCTGAGTGCATACACATGTCCACATTCATTGAGCTGTGGACCTGGACCTAAGGTTTATACACCTGACTGAATGCATGTTATATTCAAAATATTTAAAGTAAAAATCTGAATTTACAGCTTCTTTTGGGACATCAGAAGCTCTTGTAGCTGCTGTGATAGTGCTAGTTAGTGGAGCTGGGCAGCAGGTGCTACCTTTAGTGGGGAAAGGGCTCCCCAAGGTGGCACCCAGGCCAAGGTGTTGACCTGTCTGCTGTTTCTTCCCTGGCCCTGACCCCTGCTCTGGCTGTTGTCCCTTAGGACCTTCTGAACCAGAAGCCCTTTTGGGGTGTGGGGATTTTTGAACTTTAGAAGTGCTGTGGACATTTCTGGGGCCAGCAGACACATCATGGCCACTTCTAGTGCCCCAATTGCAGAGCCCGCCTGGCTGAGGGCTGAGAGGCTGATCCTGAGTGGAGTTCAGGTTTCCCATGGCTCATGTCCCCTGCAGCAGGCACGGACATTTCTCAGGCAGAATGCCATCTGTGCCAGCTGTGAGGGTGGTGGGAGAGAGGGTGGGATATGGCTCCCAGAGAAGCCCTGGGGCAACTCATCCTCATTCCGGGGCTGCCAGATTGGCAGGAAAGATCACCTAATTGAGGATTAAGGATTAATTGAGATCTGCAGGGAAAGTGGTGCTAAGGCTGCTGCAGCCAGCCCTGGCACCTCTGTGTCCAGGCTCCAGGCTGGGCAGAGCATGGCGACTGCCTGTCGGCTTTGTTCCAGACCCATCTAGTTGCTAGGAGTGATGTGAGGACCAAGCATGAGTGCTGAGAGCTCCCACCCCTTCTTGACCAGGTAGATCAGGTTTCATCCTCCCTCTTGGCAGGTAGGAGCTGCAGTCAGGCCTCCACTGGCGCTAGAAGAGGCTGAGACCCATCCTGGGCCCACATTGACCCTAAGGCTCCCTCTGTTTGACAGTGTGGTTTTAGAGTCCCCAGATCTGCATGCAAATCTCACCTTCCTTCATCTCTCAATTTTGTGTGATTTTAGGCCAGGCCCTTGTCCTCCTGGAGCCTTCTGGTGCCAGGTGAAAGGGATAGATTGACCTGGAGGCAATATGGGGAATCACGGCCCATTCTTGAACAAGAATGTGACAAAATGCAAGTAACATTTTAGGAAGAATAATCTGGCAGTGTCTGGAGAAAAAGGGCAGTAAGGTTGTATGACCTCCAGCAAGTCTCTTAAACTTGGTGCTATGGTTTGAGTGTTTGTGTCTCCTCCAACATTCATGTTGAAACTCAATCCCCAACGCACCAGTGATAAGAGGTGGGGACTTCAGTAGGTGACTAGGCCATGAGGTCTCTGCCATTGTGGATGGGATTAGTACCTCTTCTGCCTCCAGCAGGTGAGGACATCTCTGGAGGAAGCAGATCAAGATGCTATCTTGGGAGGCAAGAATTCTACCACTGAACCACCCATGCCTTGCTCAAGGCACCATCTTGGAAGCAGAGATTGGGCCCTGCCCAGACATGGAACCAGTCTGCACCTTGATCTTGGACTTCCCAGCCTCTGTAAATGTAAGCAATCCATTTGCGGTGTTAACAAATTATCCAGTCTAAGGTATTTTGTTATAGCAGCAGGAATGGCATAAAACACTCAGCCTGTCAGTTTCTTCAGTTTGAAAAATGGGGTATGATGATGGGGGTAGGCTTGGAGTGAGGAGACGTGTCACGTGGGTCCTCCATGAGGCAGACCCTGGGACGAAGTTAGGATACAAGAAAGATAAAAGGGGAGAAGGGGATCGGGCAGTACAGCCTCTGATTTAAGGCAGATCTGAATGTGGCTCAGCTGACCCAAAAGGGGTCTCATGCACTAGAGGAGCCTGGCATCAGGCAGAAGTGTCCAGGTCCTAAGTCCCCACAGTGCTCAGTTAGCACTGTCAGTCCCAAAACCAATGTGTCTCCTGAAGGAGCCAGCAGCCCAGCTCCTCAGCTAACTTACTCATACTTGAAGCTGATTGGGAAGTTCTTGTGGGAGCTTGGACACACACCTCATTATGAGTGAGATCAAAGCTGGGAAAAGCCCTCTGGCCAGTACTTTCTCCACTTTTTAAGTGGCAGGAACCATAGAACCTAACACACACCACCGAGCTCTAGGAGAAGCAGATTGGGTTTACCCTGGATGTTTCCTGACACTTGATCTGGGTTGGGCCCAGGATCCAGAGAGAAGAAGAGAAAGTCCCCCACCCACCTGGGGTTCACAATCCAAGGGGCTTGTGGTCCAAGAGGATAGCCCCAAGGCTTGACTTTTGAGGGCCAAATATTGGGGCTTTGCAAGTGAGAAGCAAAAGCCATCTCCCCAGGCTTCAAGATACTTTATTGCCAAAGAATCAGTGATGGTGCAGGGGCTTCACTGGAGGAGCAGTGGTGGGGGTGAAGGCAGGCAGGGAATTGCACATAAGTGGGGAGGGGGAGGAGGGTCCCAGATGGAGGTGGTTGGCTTCAAGGAACATACTGGCAGGCAGAGGCTGTAGTTGTCCTCAAGTCCTGTCTGCTGCCACTAGTTTCTGTACATGCTCAGCGAGACATCATTCGCACAAATTCTGCTAGGACAAAGCCAAGGATTTGAGTCTGCTCTCTGGACACCACTATGGGCAAGGCCAATCTGCCAGGCTTGGAGAAGGTGGGAGTGTGGTTGAGAGGAGGGCTTTCAAGGGCTTCCCCTGGATCTGATACAGAATAGGCCACACAGCCGGGAAAAGGGGGCTTTGTCTTACATACAAATAAAACCCCAAACAAAAACAACCCCTTGCAACTGAACTGGTTTTCCTCTTTGCTTTGACCACTGGGAAGCTTAGGAGCAACTGTGGGGCCTACTTTAGGGAATGCTTTTATTTTCTTTTTTGATCCAGGGTCTTGCTCTGTTGCCTACACTAGAGTGCCGTGGTGTCATCATAGCTCACTGCAGCCTAGAACTCCTGAGCTCAAGTGATGTCTCAGCTTCCTGAATAGCTGGGACTACAGATGCCTGTCACAATGGCCAGCTAATTTTTCTTTTTTCTTCCTTTTTCTTTCTTTCTTTCTTTTCTTTTCTTTTTCTTTTTCTTTTTTTTTTTTTTGTGGCTACAGGGGCTCACTATTGCCCAGGTGGGATTTAAACACCTGTCCTTAAGTGCTCCTCCTACATCAGTCTCCCCAGGTGCTCGGATTACAGTGTGAGACAGCACACCTGGCCAGCCTTTCCACATAATAATCTTCCTTGGCTTCCTAATGTTATTTAATGCTGCTTCCCTTTTGGGAAGACAGCACAAGGGAAGAGCTGCATTCTGCATGAGGCTGCCCAGATTTAAATCTTGGCTCCACCCACCTCCTTCTGCTAAGCACCTGTGCTTCCCCCTTCCTGCTGGGTTCTTGGTGATTATTAACTAGATAACCCCCTTAGCGCTGGGGATGGCAAGCAGTGATAAGGCTCCCTTTGTCCTTTCCTTATCTATTAAGAACCTTCCAGTACCTTCGAAGTCAACCAGGCCATCCCCGTTGAGGTCGATGTCCTGCAGGATCTCATCCACCTCCCGCTGGCTGAGGCGCTCCCCTAGCAGGGCCTTGAGGGCTGCCCGCAGCTCGGCCAGGCTGATGCAGCCATCCCCATTGGTGTCAAACTGTGATGGCATTGGTCACTGGCATTCATTCACTCAGCCCCTCACTTGCCACAGACATGCTGCCCCCCCACCCAGCTCCAGTGGCAGCACCTCCCGGAAGGCATCCCGCAGCTCCCTGACACCGATCATGTCTGCCGTCTCCGCCAGCAGCTTGGGGCCCATCAGCTCCACAAAGTCTTCAAAGTCCACCTTCCCGCCACCTGGGGGGCCCATCCGTTAGAGACCCAGGGCCTCAGAGACCCCTGCCCAGGCCCTGGCATGCCCACCCTCCGTGCCCCAATGCTGGGCCTTCTATATTTTCTGACCCCAGTCAAGCTCCAAACAAGGCTCAGATTTGGCCAAAGGTGAAAGAAAAACCACTCTTCTAAAACTTCTTGGAGCTTTCCTTAATTTTCCTTGAAGAGTGCAGCAGGGTTTGAGTCCTGGCTCCAATGAACCTCCTGTGTGACCTTAGACAAGTCACTAAACCATTCAGAGACTCAATTTCCTCATCTGTAAAATGGGGATGATGGTCTTGCTCTGCCCTCCTCAGAGAGGATGGTAAGATTCTGCAGAGGCAGAGATCTTGCCTTGAGATCCTTGGATCTGGGGGCAGCCTGTGCCTGGGCTGGAGGCATCAGGAGGACTGGGGGTGGGTGGGTCTGAGGCACGTACTGATCTGCTGTGAGATCTCGATGAGCTCCATCTCGGTGGGCATGTAACCCAGGGTTCGCATGCAGGCGCCCAGCTCCCGGCAGCCGATGTAGCCATCTCGGTCTCGGTCAAACTCCTGGAAGGCGACCTGCAGCTCTGCCAGGCAGGATGGAGTCAGTCCTTCCCCCACAACCTCCTGGATCCTAGCCTGGACCAGCCTACCCTTCTCACCTTGATCCAATCATTCCCTCTTTGTAAATATCAATTTCTTTTTTCTGCCTCAGGGCCTTTTCACATGCTGTTCTTTCATTCCAGCAAATATTTAAGGAGCATCTACTGTGTGCCAAGCTCTGCTCTAGGCACAGGGAATGCAGCAGTGAATTTAAATAGAAAGAAAAAGAGAGGAAGGGGCAAATCCTTGGCCTCATGGATCTCGCATTCCCCCTCTTTATTCTTATGCCACCCACTAAAGAAAGGCTTCCCTCTAAATTTGCCCTGCTGCAGCCTGCTTGTCCATGTCCTGGAGAGCACTTGGCACCTGGAGAGTACTGTGGCTGACTTATCCACACCGGTCTCCCAAGGGCCGGGGCTGTGTCTCCCTAGTTTGCCACGTTTCCCAGTGTTCAGTGCAAGACCACACACTGGGCACACAGCAAGTGTCAGCTGAATGAGCAAATGTAAAAGGGGTCCCATGACTTGCCTGGCAAATGAGACCAAGAAACTGACAGCTGGGGGTGGGGTGACTGGTCAACCTCTTCCTGCTCAGTCTTGTCCCCATCTCCCGGAACTGCTCTCCTGTAGTCTCCTCTTGCTCCTACTTCCTCCAGAGACTGCCGAGGCCCCCACTGATGCCCAATACCCTACCTCCCCACCTTGTCCTCACCCTCCAAGGAACCAGTTCCTTCTCAAACCTTTACCTTCAATCTCCTCGGGCCGCAGCTCCCGGTCCTAGGGGGCACAAAATGGTTAGGGGTTCCCTGGTCCTCCCAGTCCTACCTCCGCCCTGCAGGCACAGGACCTGTATCTGTCTCATGATGCTCAGACCCGTTCCCACCCCATCCTACTCACTGGCCTAGGTGACTGGGTGTCCCCTTCCTGCTGCGTGCCCAGGTCTTGCCCACGGCCTTCTCCACCCACGCTGTCACCCTCTTCTAAGGGCATGGAGCTCCCTTTGCCAGAGGTGGATTTGGGTGTCAGGCAGAAGCTCAGACTTGGCCCTGCCAGTCCCAATCTCTGCTATTTCTGGATTTGCCACTTTCTGCCCCCCTCTGCCTCCTACCCTGGATCTGTATGCCTCTATACTGATGTCCCCACTCAATCCTCTTCCCCTGTTTATGGAGAGGCAAAGTGAGGGGACAAGTGTAGGCGGGCTTGCAGGCAGGTGGCCGTACATACGAGTTGGGTGGCGGCAATGCTGGGCCGCAGGAAGATGCAGGCGGGCCCCACCAGGCTGCTGAGCACCGAGTAGCCCTGGACGCCCGGCCTGGGCGCCCCCTGTTCCTTGGGGCTGGGGCTGGGGCTGTGGTGGGAGCCCCCTGGGGAGGAGCTGGGCCATTGCCAGGGGTCCTGTAGCAGAGCCAGCCATGAGCTGGGGCAGTGGCTGCTGAGCACTGGACCTGACTACCCCTCTTCCCCCGGCCCACCCACCTCTCCTCTTTGGAACCCAGCATAGGATGTGGGGAAGTTGCTCAGGGTGTTTGGGACCCTCACCCCTTAACACTTTAGGCTGACAGGGGCCATCCTCTAATTGTTCATTTGGGCAAACAGGCCCAGAAAAGGCAAGGGACTTGGCCAAGGTCACTGAGAAAGCCAGGGGCAGAGTGAGACCCTGTGCTCAAGCTGTGTCTTCCAGGTCAAGGCTGGCTAGTAGAGAGCAGGGACCTGCAGCAGGTGATGGGACAGCCAGGTGGGACCTGGGGAGCTTGGCAGGAAGACCAAGTGGTCTGTGGGAGCCAAGACCAGGATGAGTCAGAGTCTGGGGCTTCCAAGAAGAAAATCCTATTCTGGGGCAGTGCACAGCCACCCTCTCCATCCCTGCGCCCCCAGCCAGCCCCAGCTCCACCCTCTTAGGACTCTGCCCACCCCAACTGGCCCTTCAGGGTCTAGTCCTGCCTCAGAAGGCTTTGCCCCTTTAGCCCTCCTACCTTTGGCCCCCGGTGTCGGGGCCTCTTGGCACAGTTTCCCATGGCCCACTGAACCATGCCAGGCCTGGAGTCCCGGGGGTGGCCCAGGACCAAGCCTCAGAGGATGCTGCAGACTCTTACCAGCCCCCAGCCGCTCCCAGTGCCAGCCTGGGAGTACTGCAGGGGATTTTCCTAGGGTTTTGTGGGGAAGATCGGAGGCGGGTGGGCAGGCGGGGGGCCCTGGGCCCGGGGGCTTGGGTCCTAATCCGGGATTATCTCTGAGCATCTCTGCTGGTGAGGGAAGCCACTTGGGCCCAAGGCCCCCTGGAATGCACAGCCTCCCCACGCTTCCTCCTGAGGGTCTTCTAGACACCCCTTCTCAAGCACCCTTCTCCCCCCACTCCTGCCCCTAATCTCTCCCAATCAGGAGAGATTTAACATCTTCAGAAGCAGGACCTGGGTCCTAGGAGGAGGAAAGCAGGTGCCCAGTGTGCAGAGATGGGGTAGGACCTCTCTCCCCTCAGAATGCCCGCCCATTCCAGGGGCTCTCAAAGAGGTGACAACCTTGGCCTCGGCAGGAAGTCCCTGCCTCTGCTTACCAGGACCCTGGGCTCCCCGCTTGGACCAACCCCTGACCCTAGTGAGGAGGTGATGGAGCCCACTCTGGCTGTTGTGGTGGTGGAAGGGATCCCAGAGCACTGATGGACAGACCTGTCCTCAACTTGTGTGTACTGGGTCCCCTCTTGAACTTGGCCCTGGGTCTGTCCCACAGGGCCCCAGTTTGGGTGTGGGGTCCCTGCTGTTCACACATGGTCACCCAAGTTGAGGACAGCCCCACCCCCTTTACCTGCCCGTAGGCTGCCTGCACCTGGGCCTCAAGCTCCTGGAGGAGTGCCTGTCGTCTTCTGGCTGCTGGGCTGGCAGGGACCTGGCTGGTGCCCGGAGCACCCCCAGAGGGGCTGGGGGCCCCTGAGGGGGGGCTGCCATCAGCTGGTCCCGGGGGGAGGGCCATGGAGAGACTAGGGCTCGGCACCTCCTCCTGGCTGAGGGATGCTGCCCCCGTGCGGCCTCCCGGGTCCTGTGGGAGGGTTGCCTAGTGAGCAGCTGCCCGTGAGGTCCCAGGTCCCCAGGCCCCTGAAGCCCCATGAAGCCCTTCACACAGCTTCATCGGCCAGCCCAGCCAGCCCCACATGCTGGCTGCCCACCATGCCTCGTCTTCCCTGCTTGTCCTTGTAGACCCTATCACTGCCCTCTCACCTGGCTCTGGCCTCCTCCTCCCATGTTCTGCCCCCATCTCTGGCTCACAGCCCTTCCCACACCCTCCCTCTGTTTCCATCTTGCCCGCTGTCCCCTTCTCTGTGTCTCATCTGCAGTCCCTCTCCGCCCTCTCCACCACCATCTATCTCGGTGACTGCGCAGCAGTGTCTCTGGGGCTCGCCTGTCTCTGCAGGCTCTCTTTCTCTTCCTCACATCAGTCTGTCTTTCTGTCTATCCTTGCTCTTCCCATTCCCATTCTCACCCCATTCCCCTCCCAGAATGGCTCCAGGATTCTGGAAAGGAAGCCCGCTCTTCCTCCTCACTCCCAGCCCCCAGGGTGCCTCTGTGCTGCCCACCTCCCTACCCCTGTGGCACCTTTGCCTGGTCTCACTGCCCTGCAGCGTCTTGCTTCTCAAGGGAAAGAGTGGAGGTGCCCATGCAGCCCCCACTGGCCTCCGTGCCCCACTCACCACCCAGTTGCCTGCTCCTCAACTCCCAGAATGAGGTCAGTCATCCTGCCCTGGCCCTGCTCCAGGCCCTTCATGATTTATTCACCTGCCCCCCACACTAGACTTTGTCCAAGGGAACCAGATCCCCCCAGAAGTCTGCCACCTGAGCTGGCAGCTCTGGCCTCTCTCGGCCACGTGTGGCCATTCATTCATGTATCCATACCCTGGCAAACCTCTGAGGTCAGCTACTGGGGCTACATGACCCGAGGACCCCACTGTGAGGCACATCTGATGAGGAAAAGTCCACCAGTCTCTAAGTGCCTGGGGTCACCACATCAAAAGGTGGGGATAGGGCAGTACTCCAGGCACTGCCTGTCAATGTTCAAGCTGCTCTGACCCTAGGGTTGCTGATAGGGATCAGCCATAAATGTGGAGGGTCCCAGGAGCTGGAACCTGGCAGTGTGTTGGTGGAGGCCCTCAGGAGGGAGGGAGGGGAGGCTTAGCAGCCTCTGGAGAGGGTAAGGGTGGCAAGAAATCAGGGGAAATTTCAGAATTTCAGAGGAGCTGAATCTTCAGCAAATGTTCATGGAGCACCTGCGTGCACCGCCCTGGGTACTGGGAACCAGTCTCTGCCTGCTGGAGCCTTTTGCACGGTGGGAGATGCACATTCAACCAGCCCTGCAGGCCACAGAGAGTGGGACCTCACCATGAGTAGGGGTCAAGGAATTGACCAGTGAAGAAAGAGGAAAGGAAAACCTCTGCATGCCTGGATGGGGGTCTGAGTATCTGGGGATAGGCCAGGAGTGGGCAGGTGGTCAAGGCAGGAAGGGCTCTTGTGATCGTCCACCCAGACACAGACTTCAGCTTCCCTTGGCCCTTTTGCATCTGTAGGTAAGGAGTGCACTGGCCTCCAGGCAGTAATGTCCCTGAAAACATTCATCGGAGACACCTCAGAATTCACCTCTGTTTTCTACAAACTCATAGAAAGGGGCTGCAGGCCTAGGTTCCCCTGTGCACTGGACTTTTGACCCTGCAAAAGATATATAACCTCTCTGAGCCTCAGTTTCTTTATCTGAAAAATGGAGGTTGACCTAGTATCCACCTCATGGTGCTAATGTGAAAATTAAATGATAAAGGACCTGGAAGATTTCTGACCTGGAAGGGTTAAACAAATGGCGGGTGTCATATGTGGTGAATGATCTCCTGTCTAAATAACCATCCAAGAAGGCAGGAAGTGGTGAGAAATGTGTGTCTCTAAGTACAATCCAAAGCAGCAGGGCCCCAAACTGGGCAGGGTATAGTGGGTAAAAGAGTTTTCAATCTAGGAGCAAAGGCTTTATGTCTAGGACAAAGGCTGGCCTGGAAATGCCCCCTCCTGGAGATTCCATGAGCAGCAACCTGGAAGATTCCTCTTTGTGCCCTTAACTTGCCCAGCTTGACTTAGTCCTGGCTACAGTGTCCAGGACAGTCAGTGGTTTGACTGATGGGTAGACAGATGAATGGTGGAAACATAGTTGGCTGAGTAGAAGGAATGATTGGATGGATGGATAGGGGGCTGATCTGATGGACTGGTGTTTGAATGGTTGGTAGTTGGAAGGATGTAACATTGAGTAGATGGATGGATAAAAGTATCTACAGATGGATAGAAGGATGAATGGATGGACAGGTGGATGGATAATTGGATAGGTAGATTTGGAGTTGAATGGATGGATAGATAAATAGATGAATAGATGGACAGATGGGTGACTGACCTGATGGAAGGATGGGTATCTTATTTGATGGGCTGGTGGTGAAATGGTTGGTAGATGGATGGATGGTTGAATGCATCAGAATCATCATCAATAGATGGCTGCGTACATGGTTGGGTGGATGGATGGATGGATACGCAGGTGGATGATGATTGGGTGGACAAATGAGTAGTTAGATGGAGGGGTGGATAGATGTTATGTGAACATTTTGATGGACTGGTCATTGTTGGATAGAGGGATGATTGGGTAGATGGGTATATAAATTGACAGAGGTGAAAGGAAGTGGATCGATAACTGGGTGGACGGACTGCTGGTGAAAATCTTCTATTCTCCATTAAAAGGATTTGCTAGGGTGGAGATCACATTTTATCTATTTCTGTGTACTTTCTAATCAATGTATGAATGAAGATGTCTGTCTGCCTCCCCCAGATCTGAACCATGCTTCCTCTAATAGCAAGGATGATGGCTCCTTCTCCACCATGTTTTTTGAAAGCCAAATCCAGACCTTGGCACCACACACAGAAATATGTTGAGATTCTACTTCACACTTACCCAGTTAACTAAAGTAAAAATGACAGGCTTGGCACCTGTGGCTCAAGTGGCTAAGGCACTAGCCACATACACCTAAGGTGGCGGGTTCAAATCCAGCCCAGGCTCCGCCAAACAACAATGACGGCTGCAACCAAAAAATAGCCAGGCATTGCGGCAGGCACCTGTGGTCCCAGCTACTTGGCAGGCAGAGGCAGGAGACTTGCTTGAGCCCAGGAGTTGGAGGTTGCTGTGAGCTGTGATGCCACAGCACTCTACCCGGGGGACAGCTTGAGGCTCTGTCTCAAAAAAAA